CATGGCTTACATGTGCATTAATATACAAAGGAGATTGCTAAGAGATTGTTCTGATCCATTTAGCTTTAATAATAAAATGTAAGCTCCCTCCTTTTAAGGGCCTCCATTTCACTAGATATTGTGCCGTTTTAATTCTTGGAACGCTTTCCCAAAATTCCACCACATCCTGTTTTAGCTCCTTTTACAAACACTCGACCAGTGTCCGGCCTTTCGCTCATGTATTCCACCAGTTTTTCGTATTGCGAGCGATTTGTTGGGGAAAATTTTAGTAGACGGACGGCAAATTCTAGAAAAAGGGGGAATGAGGGGGGTAGAATAGGACCCCCTGATTTCAAAAATATCCCCCATTTTTCTAGCAACCCTATAGTTCTTATATAATTTATTGTTAAAATTTTCATATAAACGATGAATAAGATAGCAAAATAACATAAAATTTGGTGCTACCAGACTGGAATTTTGAATACAAAAGCGGATTTTTAATTCGGAATTTTCACTTAGTAGAATTCTCATTTCTGTTTTGCGAAGAAAAGGAGCTGAACACCGTTTGTAGAGAACACCTTTCTGCGAAGGCGGCCTTCGGCCGCAATTAAGGATTATAACCCTCAGGCTGTAAAATTCTCCTTTCTGTTTTGCGAATAAAAGGAGCTGAACACCGTTTCCAGAGAACACCTTTCTACTTAGGCGGCCTTCGGCCGCACTTAGGGATTATAACCCTCAGGCAATAGAATTCTCCTTTCTGTTTTGCGAAGAAAAGGAGCTGAACACCTTTTGCAGAGAACACCTTTCCACGTAGGCGGCCTTCGGCCGCACTTAGGGATTATAACCCTCAGGCAGTAGAGTTCTCCTTTCTGTTTTGCGAAGAAAAGGAGCTGAACACCTTTTGCAGAGAACATCTTTCAACGTAGGCGGCCTTCGGCCGCACTTAGGGATTATAACCCTCAGGCAGTAGAATTCTCCTTTCTGTTTTGCGAAGAAAAGGAGCTGAACACTTTTTGCAGAGAACATCTTTCAACGTAGGCGGCCTTCGGCCGCACTTAGGGATTATAACCCTCAGGAAGTAGAATTCTCCTTTCTGTTTTGCGAAGAAAAGGAGCTGAACACCTTTCTGCGTAGACGGCCTTCGGCCGCACTTAGGGATTATAACCCTCTGGCAGTAGAATTCTCCTCTCTGTTTTGCGAAGAAAAGGAGCTGAACACCTTTTGCAGAGAACACCTTTCTACGTAGGCGGCCTTCGGCCGCACTTAGGGATTATAACCCTCAGGCAGTAGAATTCTCCTTTCTGATTTGCGAAGAAAAGGAGCTGAACACCGTTTGCAGAGAACACCTTTCTGGGTAGGCGGCCTTCGGCAAACAAATCGTGCGGGACCAACACCGCCTACGTCATGGGCAATATTTTTGCACAGGGGTTCGTGATCGGAAACCCTCATTGACGCCCCCACGCCCAGAATAAAAGTAGCGGTAAATTTTCATTTTCTTTTGTATTGATTTCCCCTGTATTCCTTTTTAAACATTGCCTTCTTTGTATGTATTGTTTTGTACAATATGACATGTTATGTGTCAGTTTGCAACCATGTATTATTGTAAATATGGTGCGATTCAATGTAATTTACCAGTCGATAAAAGTTGAATTAAATTGATTTATATACAAGATAAAATAAAATAAAATTGTGTAAAGTATTAAGTACAGTGTTATGTGCATTTATATATATGAAAGTATGTGACAAATGCACTTTTTGTTAAGGAATCCAAGTGGAACGACTTAAGAAGTTTTAACAACAAATAACTTATAAACAATGATATTGTTTATATTTGTTAGTTATACATGTTTAGAGGATACCTCCCTTAACATCCTGACCAAGTTTCATTTGTTAATTCCACCTGGTTTTCTTAAAACACAAGGTGCGGCTGACTACTGAAGCCCACCCATTTGTTGTGATCTTCGATCTGTTAATTTTGTAAACATTTAATAATAAATTTTTTTTTTCATATATCATATTAATTTTTACATATTTTTGAGTTTACACACTTTATTTTACTTATATTTTAAAACAATTTGTTTCGCTCCGCCACGAGTTGCTATTCGTACAAAATTTCCGACAAATACATAAAAATGACAGCTACGTCGGATTCAGGCATACCAACATTACGAATTTCGAAGATTGCCTACGAATCTCGAAATTACGATACCACAACGCGGATTTCAGCATACCAATTTTACTATTCGTAGCAAAATCGAATCTACGACGGATTACAGCATAGGGATGAAAGTTTGTACAGTGTTTATTCCAAACGGTAATCTTAAATATTTGTACCTTCCAAATGGAGTTTGAAATGTGCATAAGTCCGAGCTTTCTTCATCTAATTTTAAGGACCAAAATCCTGAGTATGCATCTAAATGCGAGAAATAGGCGCAACCTTTTAGTTTGGACCTTATTTCATCTATATTGTTTAAGGGACAGTACTCTCGCATTATATTTTTATTTAAATTTCTAGGATCTAAATATTCTTCACTGACCTGACTCTTTGATAGTTATTACTACTGAGTTCACCCATGACGTAGGCTTTGTGACTTTTTGAATGACTTCCATCTCTTCCATGCGATCTAACTCCTTACGAAGATCTTTGAGTAAGGCGAGCAGAACTCTTCTTGGCGGATCAATACACGAAACGGAATTTTTGGCAAGCTTGAGATGAACGACCGGTGGAAGACATCCAAGACCCTGAAATACTTCATAATATTTCGCCAGTATTAAATCACAATTACTTGTTTTAATGCTGAAAACTCGTTTTATAATACCTACATTTTGAAAAGTGGGTAAGCCTAAAACGGTTTGACATTCTAAACTTGTGACAATAAAAGATATATTACATTTTCCTTTTCCCTCTAACATACAATTTAATTCACATTTGCCAATGATCGGTATACCTTTACCACCAAATCCGGTGATTTTGAGATTGCATTTGCTTAAATTTTTTACATTTATTTCTCTAAAAGTGAACAGTGACATTATATTTATATCCCTAAATATCTAAAATACAATCTACTTACTTACTACTTACTTAAAATATTTACTTACTACTTACTTAAAATACAATCTACTTACTAACTTACCCTCACCTACGTGAACGTCGGTTGCGCTGGAGAGGGCAGAGAAGATGATTTCAGTAACTTCCGCGAAGCCGTTCTAATCAGCTTTGGTAAAGTTGTTATAGGTTCGGTGATCCGCTGAAGCAATGTCGTAAGGTTCATCAATCGATATGACTATGGACACATGGTGTGGCAAGTGTCAGCATAGGTCGCCCCGTTATGCGGTTTATCATACCAGCGCTTACAGTTGTTATGCTAGGCGAGCTACTGCACCTGTCAATAATCTAAAAATCTCCCGAAATTAAAATTCTGAAATAATTCCCCATATTATTTAAACATGTGATATGTATAGTATATTATCTAGTTTTACGGATTTCCGTTGACGATATCTTAAATGGCCAGTTTTTCAGTGCACGGCTGTGGTTTAAACTAAGATTAGCCAATTAAATGTCAGCAAGCTGTTCAATATAAACGCAGTTTACGTGTTCTAAGTTTTAACATTCACTGAAATACTGGTCCTTAATCTGTTAATAAGGGGATTCAGGCTTTACTTAAGTTTAAGTTGTGTCCCCTGGAAGAAAACTTGTAAGTTGAAATCTAATCTAATACATACTTCTATTCTAATGCAATACTTCTAAACACAAAATTTAAAATATGTATTTCCTTAAGATGAACCATATACGTATAGTCAGAATCTAACATACATGTTTTTCTTTAATAGGTGAATGCTAAGCCTAACGCCGCCATTGAAGACTGGCAATTACCAGAGCGTTACTCCCGTAAGCCTATAGATAGCGTTGAAATGGAATATATTAACAACGGAGGTCCCTTATAAAGTTTTTCTATGAAAATTAATTTACTTAATATGTATACTTCTGGAAACATAAATAAAATGATGATCATGAAAACTAACTGTGTTATATTTTAATTTATTTTATGCATAAACCACTTGATTTTTAAACAGCAGAGTGGCTGCTGCTAATCACAAGGTTGCAAGGAGGTTGCCGAAACATTTGAGAATATAAATACAAGTTATTGTCTTGATATTCATATTCTAATTTTATTTCACAAACCTAAAGCTATTTATACACTTCATTGCAAGGCCACTTTAATAACTCCACCTCTTTTCCAGTGCTTTATGACTTAGAATTCCTTATTTTCAAAGCAACTAATCAAAAACGTGCATGCAGCTAGCAGAGCATGGCGTGTTGCCGAAATATTCTTGTGCAGTGGCGATGCCACCCCAATGCACGGGGCAATGCACTAGGCTGTATCGTTTACAATAGGGGTATTCTCGAAGTCTTGCACGATGCACGGATTACACGAAATGCAAAAATCCTATTCCAAATTTCGATGAGTACGAGAGCACCCCATTGCATAGTGGTAGCATGTATGGGTAGCAAGCAGCGAAATTATCAAATACAATAACAAGAGAGCAAAAAAAAAATGAAGTGAACGAGATGAGAGGAACGAGAGAAATATGTAGCAATTCCAACAACAAAACAACTAGCACAGGGTCGCATTTATCTTGCTATGCCATTCCATTGCTTCCCATGTATTTTGTTGTTGTGTGTTTGCAAGTAATAAAATCCATGCAATCCGTGCTACGTGCAATGGCTTTGCAAGATTTGGAGAATACCCCTAATGTTGAATTGCTTAGTCCAGGCCTTCCCAAAGTGGGTGACGTGGCAGCCTGGGGTGACTCTAGTGGCTAGAGTATACTAGTGGTGTAGACAAATTCTTTAGGCTTTCCAAACACAATGCAAGCGGTTTGATCAAACTTCAACATGGCTGCCAGAAAATCAAAAAATTTTGGTTTTTATTAAAATTACCTTCAGCGGCTCGTCAAACCCCATACACAACACAAATAGCTTGCAGCAAAGACATATTTCGCTCTTAAGCGTAGTTTCCCAGTACGGTTTGTCAACGTAAAATTGAATCAGAAAAATAGCCGAAAACGTACCCATTTTACAACCACTTTCGGTACTTTTGTAGACCTAATCCGCGTTTCATCCACTTTTCTTCCCGTTTTCGGAATAATTTTCGGATTTTTTGCTTGCTGGGCTGTTCTCGTAAGAAGCGCAGCAGCTTCGCGCACGTGTATATGTACAGTGACGAGCAAAACTGTAACATGATGTAACACTTTTTATTTCAGCCACCGCTATCTTTCATAGTTCTAACGACTTTCACACTTTTGTTCTATATTCTTATTGGTACATCCCTACTCCCGCTCTCATAACGATTTGAGGTCAATCCAACAACAATAAAAAAACCTGGAGACAAAAATGAAAGTTAAGGCAAATGTTACAGTTTTGCACTCATTCTCAGTTTTGCATTTTACAGTTATCTTTGGCTTAGTTGGAAGTCAGATGACTTTTTTCTGTATTGTAATTTATTCAAGAAGTGATCACCAATAAATAATATGGTTAATCAGGAAACATAAATGTAAATAATAGATTTACTGCGAAAAGGCGGGACCGTAGGGAAAGTGGCAAAAAAATGTGGAGTTTGCCACATGAAAATGTTAAGACTGAGAAAAAATATAGCCTAAAGTGTTACTAAGGACAAAGGAAGTCTGTCAAAATATATTAAAGTCCGATATCTTGTGAACTTAGTAGCAAGTAACGCTGCAGGCACTACTACAGAAGCGCTTAAGGTATTAAAATTGAATGCAAATCAGTAGATAGTGAGGCGAAAAGTTGCCAAATTGAGCAAAATGGATCATAAAAGAAGAAAAAAGCAAATTTGATCAAAATACATGCGCGAGTGGGGCAGCGTTTTGCTGCATCGCGCGAAAACCGGACCGTTGCCTATTGGGATATGTTAGGCCTTACATAACGCAATAAAAAACACATTTTTAAGATTTAATCGAGGCTTATGTGGTCTGACAAGACTAAATTAATAGCTTTTAAGCAGATGGCCGGGCATGGTATTGGATCAAAGGCCCAAATTAAGCGTAAGCGCATCATGTAAGGCAAACTGTGAATCACAGTGGTCGGTCAATATTAGTTTGGGGTTGTATTTCAAAAATGTTGTTGATCCGTTTGTACGTATTATGCGTAAGGAACAGTATCTGTTCATATTTCAACAAAAATTGCAAGATGTAGTCGAAAAAATTAGTTTCTGCTGAAAAAGCAACCAAAACACACTGCACATGTTCGCAAAGACTGGAACAAAAGCAGAAATTTGCTAATTTGAAATGACCTCCACAATCCGAGGACATGAATCTCATCGAGAATTTGCGAAATCAACTAAAAGCGCATCTTACTAAGTATCCAAGTCCGTCCAATGGAGTACGTGAGCTGTGAAAGCAAACCAAGGATATATGGGAGGCTATACCTCCAGAATTTTTACAGACATGCACATTAGGTATGCCAAAGTGCAACCAGAAACTAAATAAAGCAAAACCATACTGAACATTGTGTTAATAATTCTTTTTTTTTGTGAAAATTGTCAAAAAATTATTAAAAATACATGAGTGCAAAACTGTAACATATGCCTTAATTTACATTTTTGTCTGCTGGTTTCTTTAATGTTGTTGAATTGACTTCAAATCGTTATGACAGAGGAAGCAAAGATGTACCAATAAAAATACAGAACAACAGTATGAATGTCGTTAGAACTTGGAAAGATAGCGACAGCTAAAAGAAAAGGTGTTACTCCATGTTACAGTTTTGCTCGTCACTGTATATTACTTATTCTTTGGAACTTCACAACCACACTCATGGGCGTCGTCAGGATGGAATTTAGGGAGGGAGATGCGACATATAAAAAATCCCAAAATTTTCATCTTTATACATTCATGTTTCTGGCATGCGGGGGACGATATGTAATTGCCGATTTACTTTACAAAAATTATTTAAAAAACAGACGTCTCGGTTGCTCAGCAAACCGGTTAATCGTTTCTGCATTATTTCACATTGATTCTCTAAAACAAATTTTCGATATATTCTTAAAATGCATAAACCTAAAGGTAAATTTTATGGGAAATTAAACTAACAATTTATTAAAACTAGTAGTAACCCCCGAAATACGGGTGAGTACTTAGCTCAAAATTTATTTAAAGAACTTCGTGAAAGACAACAATTAATCTTGTATTACTAGACACCTGATAACCCAGGATAATTTTTAAGTTCTTAAATGACATTACTCTACTCTAAGCTTCGTGCAGTGGGCCATGAGAAAACCGTCATCTTTAAGGTATATTTATTTATTTATTTATTTATTTGGTCTACAGAAAAATGTTTTCTTACAGACAAATGAGGATAGAACATTTAGATACATAGTAATTTATAAAAATAATAATAGTATTAATAACAACATAAAATAGCAGGTTGGTAGCTGGCGAGGCCTAGTCTTCAGTCTACTGTTGTGCGCGGCGGGCGGAATTACCTAGTTTCCGCTCCGCGCTGCGGACAGGCTGTTGATCAAGGTCGGTAAGGCCAGGTTTCCAATCCATGTTCCCGAAGACATTACTTTGTATATGTGGCAGGCGGAAAGCTCTGGTTTCCGCTCCGCGCTTATAAACAAGCTGTTGTACATGGTCGGAAAGTTTCCGATCTAGCTCTAGCTTCCTCTCCACACCGTGGACAAGCTGTTCAGCATGGTCGGAAAGAACGAGTTTCCGATCCATGTTCCCGAAGTAATTTTTTTGAGTATGTAGCAGGCGTAAAGCTCTAGTTTCCGCTCCGCGCTGTGGACAAGCTGTTGATCATGGTCGGAAAGGCCGAGTTTCCGATCCATGCTCGTATTGTCTTACGCGGTCGCGAAAATATACGAAGCCGATTACAGTTGTACTAAGCAGTCATAGATATTGTGTAATTTATCGTTCCCGGTTAAAAATATTAATTTATTTAGTTACAAAAAAGCGATTCACGTTTACGTTTACCTCATAAACTGAACAGAAATACAGTTCACCAGCTGAACGATAAGGTGCAATGTAAGGGTTTACATGTTATTTATTCTAAATCTCAAGTAAGGTTTTCAATGGTAAAATGTGAGTCGGAGGTGTCAAAATAGTCGTAATGCTTATTAAAGTCCTGGCTAGGCAACGAAAAGCATCATGCATTTCAAAATTTGTTCTACAAATAGTTAACTTAATGGGCTTGTAATGTCTAGAAGGCCTAGAAGGAATACAAAACGTGATCTGGTTCAGTAGAAAGGGACTATTGACCATCCCGTTCAAGATCGTAATCATGAACAAAACCCCGAGCATCTCTCTACGGCTGTGCAGCGTTGGCAAATTTATGAGCTTCAAGCGGCTTTTGTACGGTGGGAGATTTAATGTCGAATCCCAAGGCAAATTACTTAATGCGAATAATAAGAATTGTTTCTGTACCGACTCGAGTCTGTCAGAGTGCGTTTCATATCTAGGGTTCCATACTTCGGACCCGTATTCTAAGATCGGCCTGACTAGGGGGGTGAAGAGAGCTTTAGTGACATAAGGATCTCTGAATTCTTTAGCCCAACGTTTGATGAAAGCCAAGACGCCCTTGGCTCTATTAACGCAAGAGTTTACATGGGACTTGAATTCAAGCTTAGAGTCCATGGTTACGCCTAGATCGATGAAATTAGTTACCTGATCAACACTATGTTCACAAATGCGGCAGCTATATGATTGAAAGGGTTTTTTAGAGAAACACATAAATTTACACTTTTTCAAGTTAAGTGACATAGAACTTACTTCGCACCCTTTAAACACATTACTAAGGTCCACCTGTAATTGTTTCCTGTCTCCTGGGGCACCAATGAACTTAAATAACTTAACGTCGTCTGCGCACATTAAGCAATTCGAATACTTCAAAATATTTGGAAGATCGTTGATGAATAAAATAAACAGAAGGGGGCCAAGGTGGCTAACTTGAGGTACACCTGACGCCACATGAATTACACGAGATGAAGATTTTTTAAAG